TCTAATTTGTGCTCTTCACGTGTCCACTCCATACTCCTAATAAGTGCTGTTTGGCATCAGTGCCTTTAAAGCATGTCACTTTGAGCTACCTAGTTACTCTGATGTCAGGCTCTCTGAAAGCCCTTTGGTTTGCTCTGGAGTGCAGTTCCTGTGGTACAAGCATAAATGATTTTCTCTGGCCCTATTCGCATTGGGGTCCAACTTCTATGCAGAATGTCTTTTAAAATACCCGTTTCCCAAAGGGGCAGTGGATGCAAATAATAGCTGAGATCAATTCTGAGGTGTCCATATATTTTCTCAGGAGATGGTCAACAGTGCCACCATCAGAATCATTCCATTTTCACATTACAGAGTTTTTGAAAACAAAAAGGAAAAATGACTTGAAGGAACACCAAACATTAAACATCTTCTTTTTTCCTTACATATGCTTTAAAAGATGCCATACAGTGTAAAAAATATCATTATAAATTGGATTGTGTGTTCCATCCACACAAAATAGATCTTTAAAAGGTGAAGCTATGAGCAAAAGACTTCTTTTTGGTTTCATGTGTGCGCCTTTCCTCAGAAACTAAAGCTGTTCCCTGGACCCAGGCTATTTTTTGGAAATTGGTGTCTTTGCAAAATCTGTTTGCTTTTAATATCCCAAGTTTTCCATCATTGTTACATTTCTTGGTGCATAGCTAGTCATGGAAATGTTAAGAATGTCAGAAATAAAAAAAAAAACCAAAGTGATAACTTCTCAAAATAATATTAGACAGATTTATTTTAAGACATTGGATTATTTTTGTGTAAGCAAGTAAAAAAAAAAATTATTCCTTTACTGAAATAAAATGCTTTGTTAAGAATGGTTAGATGTTAACATAGTTTATGCCATTCTTTTCACATGAATAATAAATCAAAACTCACGTATATAGGAAATTAATATTACCGATGACCTCAGAAAGGAATATGTTAATGTCATGCAAAAGTTACATACAGGCAGTCCCCGGGTTACGTACAAGATAGGGACTGTAGGTTTGTTCTTAAATTGAATCTGTATGTAAGTAGGAACTGGCGTCAGCCGCTGCTGAAACTGATCAGTTTCAACAGCGTCTGAATCTGGATGCCAGTTCTGACTTACATACGGATTCAACTTAAGAACCCCAGGCGTCCCCAAGTCAGCTGCTGCTGAAACTGATCAGCGGCTGATTCCAGGAAGCCTGGGACAGAGCAACTCTGCCTCGGGCTTCCTGTAGTCAGCGCTGGTCAGTTTCAGCAGTGGCTGACTTGGGGATGCCTGGGGCAGAGCAGCTGGGGTGCTGCTGGGTTGGTCCAGTAGTGCCCAGAGCGGCGCTGCGGGACC